AAAAAAGACTGTATGCTATCTGATTAAAAATAAACTAAAATTAATTGTCTTTCATGACTTTCCTATTTCTTAATACAATATCTATATCTATACAATTTCAGCGATCAAATTAAAGCAAATGACGAATTTTTCCCTCCCAAATTTTTAATTAATTATGGTAAAACCATTAGATTTTATATTAAGTAAGTGTAATCATATTCTATTAACTATTCTATCATACAATAATTATTAGTAAAATAAAAAAAACTATAATTTACACTAAATGGTATATGTAAGTTACATAATCATAAAAAATTATATTGCTTTTTTTTCAAGCTATCTGTTATAAAACTAATATTAGTTTTTTAATTATAAAATTAATTTAACGGCATGAAAAAATCTCTCAAACAATTTCTATAATAATAACTATACTGAATATTATTTTTTGAATATTTTTGTAGGTATGAATTAGTCATAATCCCTCAAAGTAACAAAAATTATGTTATGTATTACATTTTATGAAAACAATATAGAGATTCATGTGTAGCTAAATAATTTATATTTATAATGTTCATTTATTAATAATAAAATTTATGAAACGTGATATATACATTATCTATTTAATAATTTTTTATGTTATATATACACATAACTTATAATGGTTTGTAATTATATTTATGCATGTGCACAGAATCAACTATTAATTAATTACGCTATTCATCCACCCATTATTGTGGTTGACAACCACCGTAACAAGGTTATAATTTTGTTTGAATTGTGATTCACTAAGAATGTGATTGGTTATAAATTTAACTAAAAAAAAATCAATCAAAACTCAAATCTAACTAACTTTAACCTAATGATCTCATCGTCTTCAATATTATTAATATAATTAAATACTATTAACTAATTATTATTGCACGTCACATCAACTTTAATTCACTGTTCATACACTCACATAATTTTAACTAACCATCACTTCAAATAATTTTTCTCCTATTTTTACGCCAAATCAACTTTAGTTATTTTATTTTAAATAATATTTTAATTTAAACTTAAATTTTCAGTAACAACTAACTTTACCATATGTTTTAAAATTAACTATGATTAAAAAAAATCAATAAAAAACTAATCAAATTCATATCCAATCACGGGAAATGCTACAGTCACGTGGAGGAATGATTCCCTCAAATCAGTATAAGCCATTATATCATTTAATTTCGATATGAACTCTTAGACTTAGTCAAACAAAGGTGATGTGCCAATTTCTTATTGGAGTTTAATATGTGGGGAATGATTCTGTCATGAAATTGTAGCATTTTTCTCCAATCACACCCTAATTCAAACATTTAATTGGTTTAATAGGGTTTGCATAATAATCATATATATACTTGACAAAACACAAACACAAGGATCGGAAACATCCAACAATGCATATATGCCTGTCATAAACAGACACCACTTAGTACTATGTAGGACATCAATTGTATAATGATCTTGGTAACTTAAATCTGCATAGTTTTATCAACAATTGCAAACCCAAAATTCGGAAACCACAAAAATGACACACATAGAAATGTAGATATTATAAGTTGCACAATTTAATCGGTAACTTAAAAATTCACATAGTTTTTTATAAACAATTGCAAACCCAAAATTTGAAAACACATAGTATTATATTTCCATCTGGTCGGTGTTGATGAATTTCACCCTCCCTAGTCCCTACACTAAAACTGAAAATAACAAAATATTTCCATATTTACCCATCAGTTTCCTCCTTTTTCCACTGGAGCCCCATAAACCTACACGGCGAAAACCTAATTATTTTGCACTCAGAAATAGTCTCCAGCTTGGGCGACCAATTAACCCTATCTCTAAACCCAACCAGCTGATCATAATGTTTTTGCAGCTCCGGCGTACTGCACAGAGGGCTCCCACTCCCTCCGCCGCCACAATCACTATTTTCACTCTCACCGTTAATCAACCAGGCGATGAACTCCGGCACGACCCTAATCAAAACCCTCCCATCGGGCCCTTTCCCGTACTCAAACGGGCACCCCTTAAACCCGGCCCGGCCCTGGCCAGCGGGCCTCAGGGCCGCCATTGACGAGGGGGACAGGACGGGCCCGAACAGGTCGATTGGGAGGAGGAAGTATGTGCGGCCCGGGACGAGCTCGTCTCCGATGGAGAGGGCCGGGGCGGGCCGGCCGACGAAGAACGAGTCGGCCGGACAGACCATCCGGTCCGGGAACTCGAACATGATCTCGCCGGCGAGGTGCTTTCCGGCGAGGGTCGTGGCGGCGCCGCCGCCGTAGGGTATGAGAGTGACGGCGGCGGCTGGGGGGTTCGGCGGGCGGAAGCACGAGCCGATCGTGGCGGCGTTGCCCATTAGTTAGAGACAAGTTTGTAGAAAAATTAAAGGAGAGGCTTTTTGGATAGTGTGTATATATATATTTTGGTTTGTTTTGTTGTTTGCGTGTGTGTGTATATATTGTCCTTTTGATGGGATTGATTGATCGGGTCGGTTTGGTCAGTGATGGTGGGCTCTGAAAGGATTTTTATTTTATTTTTATTTAACGACTTTTAAGTTTGTAAAAGCTAATTAATTATTACTGGGCAGACTTTTAGATTAGGTCTTATGAAGCGTAATATGCATGATATAATTGTGTTGATCATGGAATATTGAATTCGATCACCGAATTTGGATTTTTGTTGCCTTTTTTCTATGACTTTAGTACTGCGGATAATATATAGGCGCGCGTTTACTTTGTGAATTTTTAAAAGGAGGTTACGTTTACGTAGTTTAATAATTTGAACTGTATACATGTGATGTATATGCGTAATTTGAATCGGTATAAACGAAGACTAGTAGTACTAGATTACCCATATAGCATAATCATAATAGTTTTATACTTAAAATATCATCAACATGAAATAAACAAAATATTAAAAGTAGAGGAATAGTACTGCAGGGTTAAAAGCGGCCCACGTGAATCAAAATTGTAATACCTGTCATGTCTTTAAAGTTTTGTACAGAGATATATATAGAACACAATCTCATAAACCTAACTACCATAAATACACACACATATTTATATATATATATATATATATATATATAAGAGTTGAGTTCAAGTGAGAAAGATGGTCAATAAAAGAAATAAAAATAAATCTTAGTCATTGAATCGAATGATCCAACAGTTAAAAAAAGACCCAAAAATTTGAACATATTATGGACATTGTGGTAATTTTCCTACCCAATTAACATGTGGGCCCCACCCAACACATACTCACCCTACCCAATTTCCAACCCATCAGCTCACATGTGGGACCCACCACACTCTCTCTCACGTATAACACACACACACGCTCTCTCCTCTCAGTCCGTCACTCTCCCTCTCACACGACATACACACACTAATGCGCGACATATACACACAATCGTCGTCTAACTTCCGTCTGCTGAGAAGCGCCGCCGCTGCTGCTGTCCTACAGTCCAACCTTCGTCCGCCGTCGCCGTCAGGTCCTATGTCATCGATGCCACACCGGAAAACCGTTCTCCCCACCATATTCCCGTGCGTCTGTCAACATGTCCTTATTCCTCCGGCTAGTATCGCTGCAGCACCGACACCCAGCGCCGTCCCCGACCATCCAAATGACATTGTCGCTCCACTCGCCACCGTCCGATCCTTACCTGCTCTCATCGATGAAGGACGGAGCCGTCAGCGTCACCCGACGGCTGCCCGGTGCTTCTCCCTCCTCGGTAAGGCCCGGTCAAGGTGGAGCTGCGGTTACAGACTGAAGATCGACGAATAACAAGAAAACGTGCTGGAGACCATCCCCGTCCTCCCCGCCGCCATCGTCGTCCGTCCCGACGCCATCTTCTGCAGTCGTCTTCCTCCGGCGTCTTCAGCTGCCGTCCTCCGTCGGGATCCGGATGGCACCGATGTCCGAAAAGTAAACAAATGGACAGGAAAGTCCAGATCTGTGCACTTGAGATCATAAGAGTTTGGGGCATTTTTTGTGATTTAGACAACTTACAGGGACTTATTCTGTTTATTGTGTTTTTGTGCTTATTTTCGTGTGTTTTATGTGCTTTAATTTAGTCTTTTTAGGTTCATTTTAGTGTTGACCGGTCTATTTTATCGTGTTTCGTGCATTTTTATTCTCGTATTGTGTTTTTGTGGTTCGACGTACTTTTTCTTGTCTTTTTGGTGTTGTTTAGGTCCACACGATCCGAGTTTAGGGAGACGAGCCATTTCTGAGACATTTTCGAGCCGTCTGAATCATGTCCGAGCCACGCGAACCATTTCCGAGCATATATATTAATTGCGCGGTGATATCGATTTGAGCATACCAAGACGAGGAGAAAAAGATTTGAGGAGCGTGGGTCAAAGTTTCGAGCAATCGGAGAAGTGTGCGAGAAGTTAGAGCGAATCGAGCATCAAGAGGCCATGACCGGGACTGGACCCGAGCCCCTGCCAGCCAGCCGCGCCCCCGCGCCCGCGAAGTGCCAGCCTGCTCGCGAGTTCAGAGACTCC